TTTATTCTCAATGTATATATTTTTTTTTGTAGAATTCATATTGGTTTGAGCATGATTCCCAGTTTTTAGAATATGAAGCCTGCTTCATACATGTATGCACTTTGATGCATAGGAATATAGATGTCACTGAGTCACTCTAATAGCTGCAAATTGTGAAACAGTGGAATAATTCATAATTTTGTGGAATAGTGCTTACAGCATTATGCCATCATGATGATGTGATGTTCGGAATAAATTGGACAAGAAGAAAATTGTGAATTGAACAAATAGCAAACTTACAATTTGTAAGGAGGACCACATTACTGGATGACTGTGAATACCTTGGATAAATATTCATTTGAAATATCATTAATGAATTTGGAATAACATGAATAATGAGAATTCATAGTTTCAGTGAATCTTTATTTGTTGAATTTAGACTAGAGTTTTCTCATTTGCAATCATACCACATCTTCTTATTTTTAAATTAAAGTGTTCAAGTGTTCAAATTTAAGAACCTACTTCCATTGGTCTGGACCAAAAAAAACTAATGTCAACAATAACAATTTAATATCAACAACCTTGATATAACAATATTAAACAGAACTTTCAATGCATTTAAATAATTAAATAGTGCAAAAGTCGTAACTTCACTACTAACCGTGTATTGAAATAAGCCCCGCCTCCCTACTAACCTAATATGGAATATACACGGTCTCCACGCGGACGCTTTTAACCAATCATATTCCTAGAAATTTATAGGAGGTAAGATAATAGACATTCTCGAAAACTTATTGACAGTGACGCTTACACCTATGCCTAGGACAACTGGTAACCTTTTTAGGTGGGGTCATCTCAAGGTGTACAGTGAGCACAGGCATTTATAAATATATATATATATATGATTTACACTTTAAATACTGTATAAAAAAATATTTTCAATGATTTGTTGATTTATTGGCTCTGCTTAGAAGCTGAGAATTGACCGATCTTCATATAATTTAAAAAAAAAAGGGGGCTTGGCTTTGTGTAAATTAGTAGAACTTTCCACAAAAAATCAGGATTCTACTTCGTCAAAATCATCTCTCAATAACGCCGATTAATTTTTTCAATCGTGAAAATGGAAGCCATTGTAGGGATGACCCGCGCTGTCAACTTAGCTCTTGCAAACCGATAAATGTATCCACTTGGCATAATTACGATCCTTACATGACAGTTGTGTTTTAAAAAACAAATGTATTTACTAGCTATAAAGCATCTCGTGTACTTTTAGGCCTTTTGTCAACTAAAAACTATTGTCTGGTTGGTTGTCAGGGGGAAATTTTGAAAGTTAATAAAAACATTAAAACAAATCTATTTAAGACTAAACATTTGCAGAGGTTGAAGAATAATTAATATAACCTTGATTGTTTTTTTTTTCAGTTATGCATTTTTAAGATCCACTTATAAAGTCATGGACTGTTTGTATGAATCCAAGGAGGAGTTGTGAACAACATTTGTCCCACTTTTTTTATACATTTCATAAATAAAATAATTAATATGCCTAAATTTTTCACTAAAAAATGAGTGAAAGAAAGTAAAACAAAATACAACTAAGAAATACACTTCCAGTTTAAACATTTGAAATAGCACGAAGTTTTTCTTATTTTATTCAAACACACTTACTCTGTTAGAAAGGTATTTCACTTAACCCATATATTTTCTGTTTTGGTACTGTGAATGTGTAATGTTATTATATCAAAATGTAGCCTAAATATATAAAAAAAAAATAATGGATCTGAAGCGAGACTGATGCATCAATATTTTTGATTTATACGTATTCAGGACAAAACAGTCAACTCAAACACGCTTGAACGTAAAAAGGTGTACCCCATTTCTCTTTTGATAAGATGAATACCCATTTTGGTTATTTTACCTCAAAAACTACATGAAATTTAATTTACTGCTTGAAAAAGATCAATCAGTATAATTCGACAATTCATGAATACCAAATGGATAATCAGTCATTTAAAATATATAACAATTTGGATAATGAGAATTTCTAGTTTCAGTGAAATTTACAGTGCATCACATCTGAAGTTAATGCTAGCATTGCAATTTTTAACTACCTACAGGGGGTGTTAAAAGACCCTGACTACCCATGAGGGTCTCTCGCGGTCCGTCACTAATGTTTAGTGTTAAATGACAGCTTGCTGTACTTAAAGTCTGAATGTACATGTATATTAATAATAGTCTAAATTACTGGCATTTTATAATGGTCAAGCATATTAAACAATACATGTACTTTAAACTATCATTTTATTGTCCCGCCTGCAATAAAAGTTGGAAGTATGCAAGAAATAGGTATTTTAATCTGGCAGCGGCAACTGTGTAAACTATTTGTATAAAGCTTTACATTTAAGAAGCTAAAATAGAAGCTGATTTGGTCTGACCTGGATACTTCTTATCGTGTATTCAGATAGCTGAATATGTTCTATAGTTTCCGTTGGTCTTTGTCCATTGCACTTGACCTTATTTTCATGGATCAATGATTGCTTGAAAAAAATTACCGTTGTTTGAACAGTGAAATACTCTCTTATAATAAGTAATTGGATAAATTTATTTGGTATATGGGTATCTTGCAAGGTTTACATGACTGTCAGGTAGAGTTCACCTGACCTTGACTTCATTTCACGGATCAGTGATTAAGGTTATTTTAGTTACATTGTCAAGTCCGTTTCTCAGATACTATAAGCAGTAGGAATGGTAGGTCAACTACATTTGGTCTATGAAATGATTGTAAGGTGTATATGTCTGACTGACAGGTTTCATCAGACTTTGACCTCAATGTCATGGTTCATTGAACAATGTGTAGTTTTTGTGGATTGGTCTATTTCCCAATGTTTCTCAGATGCTATAAGCTATAGGATCACTATTTTTGGCATACTGAATAATCGTAAGGTGTACAAGTTTGATCGGCAGGTTTCTTCTGACCATGCCCTCATTTTCATGGTTCATTGGACAATGTTTAGTTTTCATGGTTTGGATGTTTGGTCTTCATGGTCTATTTCTCAGATACTATAAACCACTAAAATTCGGGTATGAAATGTCAGATTGTAAGATGTACATCATCTGTTTGGCATGGTTAATTTTACCGTAACTTCATTTTCATGGATTATTGATAATGTAAAGTTTATGTGATACTTGTAGTAAAACCTTCATATTACATTCAACATAAATTCAATTATACATGTAGGTAAAGCAGCCGTGACATTTCAGCGTGTGCACCATTGTTTTCATCACCATTGATCATGTTGATTATAGCTGCTTTTTGTTAACAAAAGTCAGACAATTATTAACAAGTGTTAACATTCATTTGATAATATTGTAGTCTTGTATAATGTAAAATAACCAGAATAAGGAAATGTGGTATGATTTTCGATGAGACAATCATCAACCGTAGACCAAGTGATGTAATTGGTAGTAACTATAGACTATATGATAAACAGCAACAAACAAAAGCCATTACAAACAATGAAAAATAAGCCTGTGTCAGGGTGGTCCAACCCACCATATTAGCATAAAAGAAAAATATTCATAGAAAACTGATTGATACAAAAAAAAATATTGAGAACTAAAGAACCATATATGACTACCAACATTTTAAGAGGTCGCCAGTTGGAGACAAAATTTAATAAAAGTTAGGTCAGTTAAGCATGATGTCTCCCATTTTTATCATTTTTATAGGCCCATTGGTGACAAATGTATTATGGTTTACCAAAGTTCGTTATATGTGATCAAATATTTTCATGCTTCTGCCCTCATGCCTGTTTTTCTACAGATCCATTTTTTTTTGCTTTTGAATACATGCCTTCTATATATCCCAATATATTTTTGCAACAATTTCAATATACACAATTAGCATGACAAGGGCGTACATGTATTATGTACTATTAGTGAGCTATTTGTTTTAATTTAATTTTAATATTGATGGGTGGAAGCATACTTTTGGGGTTTCAATTTGCTTTTTTCTGAAAACTTCTAGCAAAAGAAAAATAATAACCAGAAATAAAAAAAAAAAAAAAAAAAATGATAAAAAAGTGGTTTCAGGAGGGAGGATGAGAATTGGAATTTTCTTTTTGTGGCTGAACAATTAGAATTAAACTATCTTGCTTATTCATGGTAAATACACAATGTTACAACTATGTTTGTACATTATACATATAGCATGGCGAAAATCTTATGAACTACAAATAAACTAAAACATGATAATAAAATGGTGAACTTGAGTAAACTGGCTTCTATGATGAGACATCAATCCAACAACAACAACAAATCATAATTTAGAGGTTAACATATATATATATATGTATAAGTATGTCTAAACAAGTGACAACTCTACGACAGATTCATCCATTGGATCACCAGTGAAGGTGTTACACGGCTGAAAACACATATTATATTCATAATTACTCTGAATATCAGCACAAAAATGTTCAATCTGCAAACAAAAAACAAAAAGAGTCATGAAAATTTTAACCTGTGATTTTTTTTTATAAGATCATAATAAATAAAATAATGTGGTACTTGTTTGCAAACTAGACAATTTTTCACCCGAGACCCAATGACATAGAAGTTAGCAACTGAACTGGCAAATTTGATGAGGTCAGAATATTTATTTCCAACATATAGTCAGCCATATTATATATTTTCACTCAGACCAGGGCCAGAATACTTATTTTTAGTCCATCCTTATATAACACAAAAACTACTCTCCTCCCCCTCTTTCACCTCAGAATCAACCTTTCACCCCTAAACATGTTAACGTAAATTAACTTTTGTGGGATACACATACAACTTCAAACAAATAGATCAGTCAAAATGAAGACTAAAACTAAAATTCTATTAATATGGAAATACCATTTATACTGTCAAGGGTGGATCCGGTCCAGGGTCCAAGCGAAGATGAATGTTATTATCCAAAATGCGTAGTGAGTCAAAAATGTTTGTACGATTTCATAAATAATTTTTTTTTTTCTAAGGCGCACCTGGTAATACTGTTTCCATCACTGGTTGAAGATGAATATAATCAGAATAATAGACCCATTTGCCTGATTTATGTGACCATTTTAAAATTTCCATTACAAGGTAAAATTGTTAGTTTTCTATCTACAGGTAGAAAGATAGTTTATATCAAGATAAGACAAGCATTTATATGATTAAATAAATGTTTTGGGTAAACGTCAGTATGACATCAACTGAAACTACAAAATCACAAAAAGACATCTGAGGTCAGTCTGTAGATTTCAACAAGACCAGAGTCTAAAGAATTAATACAATAAACTCTAAACCGTGGTGTGAATAAATAAAAGAAGATTTGATTTCCTTTTCTGAACGAATGCGAGTCTTCTTGTTTTGAAAAGTTTTACTTTCACTGACGCTAGTTATTGTGTCGGTCTTATACAGTACGTCCATCCATTTATAAATACATTTTTACAAAATATGTATGATAAATTGGTTGAGAAAATCCGATGAAAATATAAATTAACTCGAGTGATAATATTTTTGCCTCAATAATGCCATGTGAAGTGTTATTTATTAAGACACTTAAACTTCAAATAGACCACTCGGTACAGTAAACAGTACAAAGTCGAGTCAATATTAAACTTAACTAAAGTATTCAAAAAGAAAATACGGTAAAATAAAATAAATTGAATTTAAATAGATTTAAGAATATTTTTGTTTTTCCATAGCTGCAAAAGATGCGTTAAATGTTCATCATAGCTTTGACTTTTCTATACATAAATCAAAATGGTTAATACGACAATATTTATAATTTTGTAGGAACAAAAATGTGGTCCCAAATACAAGCTTAAAAACAATCAAATGATTTCTATAAGTGTCCATGCCTTATGAAATAAGCCCTCGGGAATAAGCAGTTTTAAGTTTGACAAGTGTGTATATTCCCGCTGGGTTTACAGTATATTGACTGTTATTATGAAGTAATGTGATTCGTAAAACTACGGGTATTGGAGATAACATTGCATGCATGAATGATTTCACAACTAACTTATAAAAATTTAAAATTTGTCATCTTGATAGTTTTGAAAAGTGTCAACTGTTACAGTTAAAGATACATTTGGTTACAAATATATTAGGAAACATTTTTCGATTTATCTGACAGGTGTACAAATGTATGTAGTATTAGATGCGTATAAAACAGTCCCGTGTGAAATTGAAGGTATCTAGTGCTGGTTCAGAATTTTTTCGAAGAGATGAGATGAAATGGAGTGTTCAATAAGTTAAATTAATAAATTAAACACATTTACCTAATAAGCGGGGAATACCAAAATGTTCAGCGGCAAATATTTCAATATACTTTTTTTTTACAATCAGTTTCTATTTAAATTAATGTATAAAATGGGTGTGACAGTTGTGTCTTTTTTGTAACAACCTACTTATATTGCACACGGTGAAATTGTTTTACAAATAAGTTAACCTTTCCCGGACTATCAGAAATTTTGTCTCCGTGACTTTTAAGTCAATTGAATATCAATGTTTGGAAGTTGCGACACTTATACATTAGCTATGGCTATATAATGGTTGTAGCAATCATATTTTTACTGTAACAACCTTTTCGGCGTTTAAACAGTTTATTTATGACTGTTGAAACGTTTTTCGAGTTGGGACAGTTGTAAATCAACTGTCTCAACTTTGAAATAGTTAAAACAGTCCTTTAATGATTTTTTACAGCTATTTCTAGCGTTGTTGCAATCGATTTATGTTAGAGACAATACTTTAAAAGTTGGAACAGTTACAAAAATACTGCAGCAGTGAAATTTAACAACTGTTACAACTTTAACAAATATAATCAGTCGTAGAACGGCTGTTACTGGTATGGACAGTTGTTTTTTCGTCCAGTAGTGTGCATATAGAACACTATATTTCTAGTATATTTATAGTGTTTTAAAGAAAAGTAATATTTTGACTTTTGGTACATGAAAACTCATAAAAGATAAAGTTAACATCGATAGTATTACTCTCATGATAAGACATGTATTACCCAAACTAACTGTCTTAACATTTGGATCTATTTTCTGTGTACCTTATCATTTGTTTTTCTAGGTAACGTCTATTGAGGATGATGGTTCAATGCACACACATGCACATGAAAGACAGAATAGAGTAAGAAAATAAAAATATAAAAGTTTACATTAGTTAAACCGTATGTGTATGAAATATTGCCATACGGAAATCAGGCTCATTGTATGTACAATTGATTCTCAAAATGATATATAACACCCCAAATTCATTCTTGCAAATTTAATTTTTTTTATTAAATATATGATTATGTAGTTTCAAATGATATTGATGTTCGCTATAATTTTAAATTTCTTTAGTCAACAAAGAAAATTTGCATTATTTAAATAAATAAAAGTCAATGATTGCAGCCCTAATATTTTCTATGGAACAATATAACATCTTATTAATTGATGCAATGCAATATGTACTATTGATTCCTCAAACAAATACATATACAGCATGGTGAAATCCTTATATCAATTTTCCACAGGGTACTGAAAGAGAATACTATAATTTATAAATTTGTTTTTTTTTTTTTTTTTTTTTAAATGTTTCTCTTTTTTAAAATTAACGATCCTAATTGATAATGGTAGTAAAGATTACTAAACATTTTATAGGATAATAAAGGTGACACGAATCCGAGACCACAAATTGGGAACAACGACGAAAATTTATTACAGCATACGAACAGAGTAACTCATTTACATCAACACAATTATTTAGACCACCGTGTTGTCAACAACAACTTATACGTAAATGCATCCAGGACAGACGACACAAAGAACAATACAGCAATTATCCGTAAACCACGAACTACAAAGTATGTTATGTATGATACTGAACGACTTCGATGTTTTGTTTCTAGAAAAGATACACTTCTTAAAAAGGTGAGATATTATTCAAGACATTTAAAGAGGATTTTTTATTCCGGCAAAAAATAAGTTAATCAATTTATTTCGTTACACATTCGCGTGTATATACATGTACATTTAAACGTTGAATGACCTTAAATGAAAGTAACACTTTATCTTTTACTTTTGTTTTGGCCAGGTTCTACAGAGCCATATAAATAAAAGTTATTAAAGTACGCTCTCATTTAATGTGAGTGCCAAAGAGAAAACAACACATTAAGTTGCCTTATTTAAGTCTTTTATTTCCCCCCTTTAACGGGAGAATGTGACATAATATATAAAAAAAAAATCAATCCGTCAAACATTCATTGAATTGTACGTATAAATAAGAAGATGTGGTATGAGTGTCTATGAGACAACTATCCGTCCAAGTCACAATGTGTAAAAAGTAAACAATTATAGGTCAAAGTACGGCCTTCAACACGGAGAATTGGCTCACACCGAACAGCAAGCTATAAAGGGCCCCAAAATGACTAGTGTAAAACAGGAAAACCAAGGGTTTAATCTATATAAAAAACGAGAAACGAGAAACAGTTTTGAACCACTCCAACAACCGACAGCCACTGAACAACAGGACAACCTTCACCCTAACCTGAAAAGGTGGTGTAACATTACAACATAAAAAGACACACAATAAAATATCAATTGAAATGGCTTAACTCGATCAAAAAGACATACACAAAAACAAGTAAATATACACTAAACGAATAAGTTTGATCAATGACACAATATAAATAAAAAAGATTTATCAATGTCAAAAAGACAACTTTAACCTAGGACAAAATGGCATTAAATAAAGTAACGTACACAGGTATATTTAAATATAATTTTGTTGTTAGGAGTACAGAACAAAATAAATTTGTTTTTCAGCACGAGTACAGAAGTTAAAATTTATCGTCATACTAAATAATTATCAAAGGTGGTACATATTAAAAATAGTAAGATGAGATATAACACAAAATAAGTAAACATTGAATAACAGAAAATGCATTACAAATTGTTTAGTGAATACCATTCGCACAACAACAAAACACGAACATTCATTTCTTACCGTTGTCACAATTGTGTTGATGATACTGTTATTATAACAGATTTGTTTTACACATAAAAGATGGATGTTGTAAGGTATTTCTCAGACTAAACAAACTTTTAGGATGATTGTGATCAATTGGATGTTTGACTATATAGAACTGTTTTTAGAAATACGAAAGACTCAATATTTACTGCAATGGAAATGTTGACAAAATTATCCGCGATTTTTCACAAAATTATGCTTAAAAAGTCGGATATACTTTCAATTAATGTATTTTTGTGAATATTTTTGGTACATATGATAGCTATATATTAATAAAAACTTGTTTTTACACCTAAATTCCATAAAGAAATTAATGCATCTATGAAATTTAATAAATTAGTGGAGAAACTCGATAAAATGAAATGTCCTTTTTCAGAAAAAAAAAAATAATAAAAACACTGTAAAATATACAATGAATAGTTAAATGTTACAATTTGCAATGAACAATGATACTAAAAATTGTATTGTTCTTTAACAGGCGGAGGAAATAGACACAGCAACTAAATGCGATATATACTTAGAAATAAGATACGAAGAGAAACCATACACATACACATCAAAGACTTTGAAGGTAAATTGTCACATGTAGGAAATTATTGTAAATACAAAACATGTTTGAGAAGGACATTTTAAATGACAATTAAATCATGATATAACTTTCATTCATTATTAATATTCACAATATCACAACTTACCGCGTTCTTGGAATTTCTAACACTAGTGTGGTTTATTTTGTATTAAAAAAGTGTCAACACTTAGGAAAGATACAAAGGAGACATTCATTTCACATACTTCAAAGAGAAACTGATAGCACCGTGGTAAAAGAAAACAGACAACAAAAAGATAAAATTAAACACTTCACATGCAACATGAACCCAACCAAATACTTGGGGTGATCCCTGGTGATCTGTAAGGGTTAGAAGATTCTGCTCCACCTGTGGCACTCGTCGTGTTTTTCATGTTAATTACAAAAGCTGTGCTTAGTCTCAATGGTTATATCACAATCGCAGATAAGATGACGGGTGTGTGATGAAGACAATTGGAACATATCCGTGTTCGTCTGTTATACAGATTTTCAATGACGGTCAACCAACTAGTGATGGCGTCTGTAAAATTTGGAAGGGTGTTTAATTAATCGGAATCCTTAGTAATAGGGAGGGTTGATCGCTTAGAAACATAGTAGTTCTTTATATTATTTATGGCCTTGGTGAACTGGTGTCTCATTATCAACTATATGCATGTACCATCTCCGTTGTCCGTATGAGTGTTATGAATGCATGCTACTGTTAACTTGTTTAGTGGAATTGTATGATTATATGTACTCTTGTAGAATTACAGTCTTAAACAGGAAGACATGGTAAGTTAAACCTTTTCGCACACTTTATATTTGAATCTTTTATTCTGACCTCAAAATTTAACGATCTAATTACAGTGTTGAATTGGTAACTTTTTAGAATAAGTTTATTTAAAGGATCGATAAGTTTACCAGGATCGTTTCTAAATTTCTGGGCACGGTAAACAATATTGCCGTAAAAATGAGGATGTGCAATCCCATTTGAAATAAGTTTTCTACAGGTACAACCAAACTTCAAAACCAAATCTTTATATCCGTGGAAGAATTTAGTAAAGGTTTTAAGTAATTTGTAGTAACGAAATCCCTGGCTTAATAATTTATCAGTTATTCATAGATTACGTTCGTTAAAATCAAAAACGTCACACTGTGATTCATAACAGTACAAAAACAAGTCTGCTATTAAAGGGGCGCAATTAGTGCCCATAGGAATACATACAACCTGTCGATAAACTTTGTTGCCGAAACGTACATAAATATTATCAAGGAGAAAATGTATGTCAACAAATATAAATCTGAGATAAACGACTCTAAGATTCATTTGCATTGTTGTCTAATGCTTAACATTGCTAATCAAATCGACCTCCTGGAAAAGTCGAATATTCCGATTTTCCTTGTATCGCTATTTGTTGGGTAAACCTGAGTAAAGTTAACGTTTTGAACAATTTATAAATTCAATGTCATTAATATATCAATGCTTTATGTAGCAGGAGATGTTTGTTTATGTGCTTTATATTGTTTCTCTTTGTCCTGAGTTCATGCCGTTTCGACTGAATAAAACACCGTATTTGTTAATACCTTGACTTATAATATCTGAACTGACGTCCGTATACTGTCTTCTGGATAACTTAGGTTCCATCACAAAGCCTGATCATCTGATATCAAGAAATTGGATTAAGATTTTTTTTTAAAATTCATTCCAATGTCTATCATAGACGAGCTCTGCATGTTGTTACCATTGTGAAAAACGGAGGCAACCAACGTATTTATTTAAAAAATATATTTTTATCTAAAAGCTTTTTTTTAGTAAACTAAGGCATATGGTTGGGAGTTCATTTCTGAGGTAGATGTATGTTTGTTCAGTATATCTGTAGGACTCAAATCTATGGCTGGTTCCAAATCTATGGCAGATTCCTAATCTATGGCAAATATGACGTTACAAACGCCAAACAAATCAAATCTATGGTAGATTTTTGTTTTCTCCAAATCTATGGCAGATTTAGGAATTAGGTAATTTTCCGGGAAAAAGAGTAACATATAACGTCACAATAAAATAACGCCATATAAGTGGTCGCCGACAGTAAAGTTGTTGGCTCTCCAAACTTTCCCGAAGTCTTGTGTTTAAAATACTCAGGAAAACACTTTCCGTTTCCCTCTAGAACAATTTGCCGATGGTTTGAATGAAGATGTGATCTTTTATCCATAGGAGGGACACTCATTAATTTACCGTCCGAATCCCGCGATCAAGAAAGGCACAGCTGTTTTTAGTAGTGGATATTTTTTAGGAATGGAGTTATAGTAAATATTTTAGCGTCTACGGCTGGCAAAGTATTTAAAGTGAGAAAATGAAATTACAGGATACCACCTTGACTTAGATCGTCACCAGTTAAAAAAAGATTGATTAACGCTGAAATAAATATTATGTGAAAAGTCAAACTGTTTAAATTGTTTTTTTTTATAAAAAAACTGCTTTCTTGTTTGTTAAGGGACTTCCATTTTTCTAGTTGTTTTAATTAATGGATTAAACAGGTACCATGCACCGATTAGGAAATGCTTATTTTTCCGGGGAAGATAATTGTAATCCCGATTTCTGTATAATGGTATATCACTTCTACACTTTTTTATGGTTGACATCACGATTTGGTTGACCATTATGGAATTTTTATTTCACAAATGTTTATAGACATGCTCTCGTTGTCGTACATTTCAACTTATTTAAGACAAGTCAGTGATTGTATGTGTACTGCCTTGCTCTACATTTGCACAAAATCTGCCATAGGTTTGGAAACAACAAAAATCCGCCATAGATTAGGAAATTACAAAACTTGCCATAGATTAGGATTTAAAAAAATCTGCCATAGATTTGGGATGGCATGACGTCATATTTACCATAAATTTGGAATCTGCCATAGATCTGGAACCCACCATAGATTTGAGTCCTACGTATCTATAAAATTCAAGTTACTAGAAGCGATTAATGCATGCAGATGGTTGGAAAACCCCTTGTCCAGTGTAAATATGCCATGCAGTTACAATTGGTTTTCCGTATTGCGCGATATTGTCAGTTCTAGTAAACATGCAGATGTATATCCAGGAATCCATAATAAAAGGGTTAAATTGTTATCTGTTCAGCTGAAGATTGACAGATTGAACGCGTACTTTAGAATATCATTTAACATGCATTATTAATAAGTCAAACAGAGAACGGCTATGGGTATGCAGACAAATTGTCAAACTGCGGACTGAATTTTGATGCGTGATCCAGTCCGCAAACGTTTTGCATAGAACTATTCACATATAGAAATACATTTTCTTTAAATACAGCCAATGGTCACTAAATATTCTCAATTGGTTTGGACTTGTGTAGAATTTGGTGTTCATGGCATATCGTCCGTAGTACAACGATTTAGAGCGTGATATATTCTAATAAATATTGACGAAAACTGTATGTTAACTTGTATATTTGGGAGACCTTCAGATTGACGTATATCACAAACTTCTTTTCTAAATTGATAATATTATGAAATAATCGTAAGATTTACCTCTGATAAAACGACGTAGGTTAAATATATAAGATAGTTATTGATCTAATTTTAATAAGATAAATTTACCTTACCTAATTGTCCAATATTTTAAAATAAGTTTTGTCCAGCTGAACACATTCTTTTATTTCCTTGCTTTTCAAGAATTAACTATTTCATATCTTATTAGCTTTAAAATATCAAAATTGAACAGTCAGATATAAATACATTTCCCCTAAAGTGGATCTGAATAAACATACTGTTACATTACGTGTTATATGTTGTTTATGCACAGGATATATTACATCTACCTTATTTATTTATTTATTTGTTTTTATACACTTATTTTAAAACAGGATGTTACTCCTTCCGATGAATCTAGACGCTTGATAGGTAAACGAAGAATTGAATCTGACGATGATTCAGATACGGAAAGCAACGAATTGTCTCCTCCAAAAATACCAAAAACTGTAAAGGAAACTAAAAATGGTGGACTCCAAGATAAGAAGGAAAATGAAATGGAAACAGAGGCCGATAAGTATTTTTGTGATATTTGTGGATTTTATGAGGATGATAATGATGACAATAAAGGTCCCTGGGTAAATTGTGCCTACCAGTATGAAGATTTATCATGTTGTATGTACACAGCGCATGTAAATTGTCTAGATTTGCATGAATATCCTCAAAACTTTCTGTGTTCGGAACATAACGAATAGTTTATAGGTTAATGGATGTGTTCTCTAAAGTTTCAGTACTCATCTTTATATTAATTCAAACCTCTAAAACACAAAAAAAGATTTCTTACGAAGAAGTTAATTTTGAGAAGTTGTAAGGATAATTTCAGGTATAAAAGAAAAGGAAAAGGAGGAATATGTTCATTGGCAGCAATAAAATTGATACTGTTTGTTGTACTGTTACTTTCAACGAAAAAATGGTAATGTGAAGTATATATCAATAAAACTGTAAATCAAGAAATAAACAGACAATCATTATTTACGCTTAATCTTGACGGTTTACAATTGACTGCCCACTTTATATGAACAGAGTGGGATGGGGGCTCTGAGGCTGAATGGTCTAAGTCAAACTACTGTATCACTAGCTTTTCAACACTGATGTTGAGTTCGATTCTTGCACGTGGCAAGTCCGCTAGACTGTAATCTTACTTGACAAGGATTGTCAGTTTTTCCTACCGAAAATTGGTGGTTCTCTCCGGGCATGCCGGCTTCCTCCATCATTACAAACTGACCGTCACGAAAAGCACAATTGTGTTGAATTTTGTTTTAGTAAATAACAAGTAAAATAACAAAAATACCGAACTCCAAGGAAAGTACAAAACGGAATGTCCCTTATCGAATGGCTAAATCAAAAGCTCAAACACATCAAACGAATGGAAAACAACGATCATATTCCTGACTTGGTTCAGGCATTTCCATATGTAGAAAATGGTTGATAAAACCTGGTTTTATAGCTAGCTAAACATATCACGTGTATGTGCCAGTGGCATATAATTCCATTATATTGACAACAATGTGTGAACAAAACAAACAGACATAATAGTAAAAAATGTCAAAAATAGGGGTGCAGCAGTCATAATTGTGTTATAATCTTAATCACTATAAAAACAAACAAATATGTCAACAAAGAAAATCAAAATGGCATATAGATAAAGAAGATAAACAAACAATGAATGACAAGAATACAAAATTGACTATAGCACAATAACACAATGGCGGGATGTATAAGTACCGATCCACGCCAAAAGGATATTACCAAAAATGGACTAAACATTAAAGGTTAATAATTTACAAAGACAAATAAAAAAACAATATAACACGCAATTAAGATGATAAACAACGTCAGTACCAAAGGCATATGGTTGGTATTCCATCTCTGAGGTAAATTTATGTTTGTTAATTATATCCTTTAAGTTGAAGTCACTTGAAGATATTAATGAGGTAAACATTTCAAATTTCAAATTTTTACAGTAGGTCAAGTTTAAATTTCAGTGTTAGAACATTTACTTTACCGATGGTTTATTAATTTGGTGATGTCTTAGGGTAAAATAAGAGTTAATCAACAATCCGCTACTTTGAAATGCCATATTGACTTCATACAGGAACTTCTTAGGAAGAAAGATAAGAAGTTAGCAATATCCTTTAACTTTACTTTCCGCTATATAGATGATGTTCTCTCACTAAATAATTCAAAATTTGGTGACTATGTTGAACGCATCTATCCTATCGAACAAGAGATAAAGGACACAACAGATACAGTTAAGTCTGCCTAATATCTTGACTTACATCTAGAAATTGACAATGAGGGTCGGTTGAAAACAAAACTTTACGACAAAAGAGATGATTTCAGCTTCCCAATTGTGAACTTTCCATTTCTATGGAGCAACATTCTAGCAGCGCCTGCATACGGAGTATATATCTCCCAATTGATACGATATTCCCGGGCTTGTATTTCCTATCATGATTTCCTTGATAGAGGGTTGCTGCTCACGAGAAGCTATTAAACCAAGAGTTCCAAATGGTGAAGTTGAAATCATTCCTTCGTAAATTTTACGGACGCGAGTTGGTTGACCGTTTTGGAATAACCGCTTCACAGATGATATCGGATATGTTCCTTATGTCGTAATTACAATCCACTTCCTTTTTCACCACGAATGTGACCTACCAAATTAGACTATTTACCGGATTTGTCATAACATGAGCAACACGACGGGTGCCACATGTCGAGCAGGATCTGCTTACTCTCCGGAGCACCTGAGATCACCACTAGTTTTTGGTGGGGTTCGTGTTTCTTAGTCTTTAGTTTTCTATGTTGTGTCTTGTGTACTATTATTTGTCTGTTTGTCTTTTTATTTTTTAGCCATGGCGTTGTCAGTTTATTTTCGATCTATGAGTTTGACTGTCCATCTGGTACCTTTCGCCCCTCTTTTTTAATACCTATCAACATATTTTAGTAATGACACGACGGGTTTCGCATGTGGAAGAATTTGCTTACCTTTTCGGAGCACCAGTGATCATCCCCAGTTTTTGGTGGGGTTCGTGTTGCTCAGTCTTTAGTTTTCTATGTTGTGTTTTGTGTACTGTTGTTTGTCTGTTTGTCTGTTGGTCTTATTCCATTTGTAACCATGGCGTTGTCAGTTTATTTTCTAATTATGAATTTGAATGTCTCTGGTATCTTTCGACTCTCTTTTGAAAGTGGCGTGATCACCAATCAACCAATCAAGCAACTATATAAACAGAAATTGAGTCAGTTATAAGAAAAGATCTACACAACGTGATAATGTACCGGCTGCTTTAAGAATCCTTTAGGTATTGTTCCTGCTTTCTTAGCTTAAAGCTACAACGATATGAACATTAGTACAAACAACATCTTATTTTTATTAAGAGCCAGTCTGTGGTAAAACCATGCAAAATGGTCCGAATCCAAAATAGTCCAATCAGACTGATATTTTGTATTTTAGATACCTTATATGTAATAACTATTTGTGCAAAATATTTTGAAAAAAATATTCCGCCATTATTTGTACGTGCAGAACATTCGATAATTGTCCATTTCTGTACTGACAAAAGGCCATTTTAAGCCTATTTTAGGGTATTTTGACCTGTTTTTTTTTTTAGTGTTATAGAAAAATTACAGCTTAATAATAACACATACCTTAACAAACAACATTAAAGAAAAGAACATTAGGATAGTCTTAAAAGTTTGTACATTTCTCAATACCCCTATTGGCAGTTTGATATTGCATGGTTTTGAAAAAGTGCCGATTCAGCAAAATTTTTCTTTTTTTAAAGGTCTGAATCTTGTAAGATCATGTTTTGTTTTTTATTAAAAAGTAATATAGCATGAAGCTTATATATTTATCTACAAAATGCAAGAAAATGGTGCTCGGCAAATGGTACCTTCTTACGATAAAATAACAATTAAAGATAGACATGATGGCAATTTTGTCGTATTTATGAGTTTTTTATTGGTTACAAGAGAAACTTTACAAATGTATGTGATAGTCAAAATATAAGAAAAATAATGACTAATGTATTGCTTATCTTGCTTGAATAAACTCAGTTTAACTTAGTTTTAATTAAAAAATATACTAAAGGATCAGGCCCTGTAAGACCCCTTTTCGGCCCCAAAATTTAGCATTTTTACAATTTGTTTAAAATATAAACTGTTAGCTACTTATTGGAAAGTATAATACTTTAGTCACTTTAAAATGGGCTGTTTTTTTTTACAATACTATGCACATTCATCATGTACTATCATCATTAATTCATGTAAAATTTCTGAAATCTTCACAATTTTAGCTTTTGTGCTAATTTTTAGACGGTTTTTGTCAAAAATGGATGTGGCCACACTTTTGTTCAGTCTTAATATTTGAATACATGTTGTATTTGATGATAATACATATACATATAAAGATTGAGACTGGGTGCTTCTTACCTAGAAAAGGGCTCCATTTTTTTATATTGGGATAAAGCTTTATAAGCTTTATGTCAAATATCAAGTAGTTGCTGAGAAAATAAAGTGTGACTTAAATTTTGTGACGCTGACATGAACGACAGATATTGATCCCTATGTAGCTTCTGGGAGGACAGTCGAAATAACAACAATGTTAAGTTTCCTCCTAGAATGTATCCGTAAAATCTCCAACAACTTGAGGCATGTGAATAAGACATGTAAGATGCAGTTGGCCTATTACTACCAGAGACAAACAAAAATATTTCAAATTGCAATAAAATTTATTTTATGCCCACATGAATAAAAACAAATATACACAGATAAATGGTTAAACTGTGGTGCAGACATTGTCATTAAAATGGTTATATAATTATTCAGGCAGTTTGCTTATAATTTTACTGTCATATAATATTAGCGAAGTCTGCCATGAAGAGAAACATGCAAAACGGTCTGAATACAAGTTTTTAGTCATGAATGAAGGTATTGGCAAATAAATAAAGGGAACAGTAGTATACCGCTGTTCGAAACTCTTAAATCGATAGAGATTAAAACAAATCCGGGTTACAAACAACATCTGAGGGAAACGCATCAAATATAAGAGGAGAACAACGACACAACAAAAACACAACATTAAAATGTAACACACACAGAAACGAACTATAATATAACAATGGCCATTTTCCTGACTTGGTACAGGACATTTTAAGAAAAAAATGGTGGGTTGAACCTGGTTTTGTGGCATGCCAAACCTCCTGCTTTTATGGCAACGTCAAACACAACACCAAAACGACAACATCACATGACAGGACCACAATACAAATAAATGGGATAACTTATAGGACAAAGAAACACACGAATAATAGCTAACAGAAGGTACTAAGCTTAAAATTCAATACGTCAGACGTGCGTCTCGTCCACACAAGACTAACCAGTGACGCTCAGATAAAAAAAGTTTGAAAGCCAAAACAAGTACAAAGCTGAAGAGCACCGAGGACCAAAACTTTCAAAAAGTTGCGCCTAACACGGCCAGGATTTTCTGCCTGGGACAAGAACATCCTTATTATGTAGAATAATTATTAATTTTGCAAACAGTAAATATTATAAAATGACTATATAATAGATATACATGATAAAACCAAAGTGAGGACTAACTACAGAATAAAAACGGATACATTACATAAAACAACTTAATCCAACATATAAAAATACACAGCCGGGTTAGCTAAAGCCTCAACGCACAAAGTGACGTCACATTTGAAATTCTAAAAAAACACACAAAGTGACGTCACATATGAATTTGTAAAAATATTTCCCAAAAATAAGATAGGATTAGGATTGATTCAAGATAGATTTGTAATACTGCCATTACATTTATTAATAACAATGAAAACTACAATACTTATTAATATCAAATTGTGGTAGTAATTAGATAATTAATTGTATTATCTAGCTATGTCGGTGTTACTTCTGAATCAAACTGTAAACCAAATATATCGTATAAATTTCGTT